CCCGCAGGTTCAAGACCCGCCTGGGCAACTTGGCGAGACCTCATCTCTACAATAAATCAAAAATTAGCCGGGCGTGGTAGTGCACGCCTGTAGTTCTAGCTACTTGGAAGGCTGAGGCAGAAGGATCGCCGGAGCCCAGCAGGTTGAGGCTTAGGTGCAGTCTGGGTGACAGAGTAAGACTCAAACTCAAAAAAAAAAAAAGAACACAAGCTCTGGGATAAAACTACTTGAGTTGTAGTCGATCTGTGTGACATTGCACAAGCAACTTTTTTTTTTTGAATCGGATTCTTACTCTGTCACCCAGACTGGAGTGCAGTGGCATGTTCATGGCCACTGCAGCCTCAATCTGCTGGTCTCAGGCAATCCTTCTGCCTCAGCCTTCCAAGTAGCTGGAACTACAGGCATGCACCACTATACCCAGCTAATTCTTTGATTTATTGTAGAGATGAGGTCTTGTCAAGTTGCCCAGGCTGGTCTCGAACCTGTGGGCTCCCAAAGTGCTGGGATTATAGACGTGAGCCACTGCACCCAGCCTGACTGACTAATTTTAAAGCCAAATCTGAATCCTTATAGGACATAGTTATCCTACTAGGGAGGCCCTGGGCTGTTTTCTGAATTCATTACTTGGCTTGGGGTCTGGACACTTTCTTTTTTTTCTTTTTTCTTTTTGAGTTGGAGTCTCATCTCACTCTGTCACCCAGGCTGGAGTGCAGTGGCATGCTCACCGCCACCACAGTCTCAAGCTGCTGGGCTCAGGTAATCCTTCTGCCTCAGCTTTCTAAGCAGCTGGGACTACAGGTGTGCGCCATTATGCCAGGCTAATTTTTCTTGATTTATTGTAAACAGGGTCTCATCAAGTTGCCAAGGCTGATCTTGAACCCCTGGGCTCAGGCAGTTCTCTTACCTCAGCCTCCCAAAGTGCTGGGATTATAGGCTTGAGCCACCACACCCAGCCTGACACTGATTCTTTATGACCCCAATAGAACCGATGTAACTATGCAAAATTCTGTACTTAGAATAACTCATTTTATATTTCTAATAACTGTGAAGTAGGTGTTATATTGACTCCATTTTACAGATGAAGAAACTGAGACAAAGTAGTTAATTCAAGAATTTACAGCTAAATGGTAAAAATGGTATTAGAACCCAGACAGCGTAACCCTAGGACCTAGCTCTTAAAAACAGTGCTTTGGGCTGGGGGCAGTGACTCAGCCTGTAATCCCAGCAATTTGGGAGGCTGAGGTGGATGATTGGCTGAGCCCAGGGGTTCCAGACCAGCCTGGGCAACTTGGTGAGCCTTCATCTCTAAATAAGGCAAAAAATAAGCCAGTGTGGTAGCGCATACCTGTAGTTCCAGCTGCTTGGAAGGCTGAGGCAGAAGGATCACCTAAGCCCAGCGAGTCGAGACTGCAGTGGCCGTGAGCATGCCACTGCACTCCAGCTAAACGACAGAGTAAGACTCCAACTCAAAACACAAACAAAAACAGTGCTTTTCACGAAATAAATTCACAGGGTTCAGGAAAGAGCTACCCAATCTGAGACCCAGAACTGATTTTTTCTCTTTCAGGACTTGCATGGGTACTGGGAGATGCTGAAGAACTGCCCTTTGATGATGACAAGTTTGATATTTACACCATTGCCTTTGGGATCCGGAATGTCACACACATTGACCGGGTATGAGTGGCTGCATCCTCAGCTTGTGTGACTCTTGGCTATTAATTCTGCTGGAGTAGATCTCCAGTGAATGAGGAAAGAAGGAGAGATTTTATTTTATTTAGAGACAAAGTCTTCCTGTTGCCCAGGTTAGAGTGCAGTGGCACTATCATACCTCACTGCATCCTTGAACTTCTGGGCTCAAGTGATTTTCCCACTATACCAGGCTATTTTTAAAATATTTATTTTTTTAAAAATTTATAGATTAGAAAATATAGTTTATTTAAAAGTAAATTAGAAAAAGAAAGAGGGGCTGAGCTTGGTGGCTCAGCCTGCAATCCTGTGCTTTGGGAGGCCGAGATGAGCGGATTGCCCGAGCCTGCAGGTTCGAGACCTGCCTAGGCAACTTGGCGAGACCTCATCTCTACAATAAATCAAAAATTAGCCTGGCGTGGTAGCACGCGCCTGTAGTTCCAGCTACTTGGAAGGCTGAGGCAGAAGGATCACTGGAGCCCAGCAGGTTGAGGCTGCGGTGGTCAGGAGCGGCCACTGCACTCCAGTCTGGGCGACAGTGAGACTCCAACTCAAAAAAAAAAAAAAGAAAGAAAAAGAAAGAGAAGGGAGAGAGAAGATTCACCTCCCCAAGGTGGAGGAAGGGGCCAAAGCCAGGAAGCATGATGGCAGCTGTAGCTCAAAGAGCACATGGCCATTCCAGGGTCTAGAAAGGCAATAAAAAAAATTTTTTTTTAGTCGGAGTCCCACTCTATCACCCAAGCTAGAGTACAGTGACATGCTCACAGCTACCACAGCCTTGACCCACTGGGCTCAGGTGATCCTTCCGCTTCAGCCTTCCAAGTAACTGGGACCACAGGCACGTGCCACCACATCTGGGTAATTTTTTTTTTTAATTGTACAGACGAGGTCTTGCTGTGTTATTCAGCCTGGTCTTGAACCACTGGGCTCAGACAGTCCTCTCACTTCCACCTCCCAAAGTGCTGGCATGAGCCACTGTGCCTGGCCTTATTTTATTTTATTATTTGTAGAGACTGGACTCTCACTGTATTGCCCAGGCTGGTCTCAAACTCCTGGTCTCAAGCAACCCTCCCACCTCAGTCTCCCAAAGTTCCAGGATTACAGACATGAAACTCTATGTCTACCTAATTTTTTTTTTGAGTTGGAGTCTCACTCCTTCGCCCAGGCTGGAGTGCAGTGGCACATTCACGGCCACCCCAGCGTCGATCTGCTGGGCTCCAGCGATCCTTCCGCCTCAGCCTTCCAGGTAGTTGGAACTACAGACACATGCTACCACACCCAGCTATTTTTTATTTTATTTTATTGTAGAGACTAGGTCTCATCAATTAGCCCAGGCTGGTCTTGAATCTGTGGGCTCAGGCAATCCACTTGCCTTGGCTTCCCAAAGTGCTGGGATTACAGGCTGAGTACTGGGATTACAGGCTGAGTAGTTGGAGTCTCACTCCGTAGCCCAGGCTGGAGTGTAGTGGCACGCTCACAGCCACCCCAGCGTCGACCTGCTGGGCTCCAGTGATACTTCCACCTCAGCCTTCCAAGTAGCCAGAATTACAGGCATGCACTCCCACGCCAGGCTATTTTTTTTTTTATTGTAGAGACCAGGTCTCACCATATTGCCCGGGCTGGTCTCAAACCCATGGGCTCAGGCAATCCACTCACCTCAGCCTTCCAATGTGCTGGGATTACAGGCTAAACCACTGAGCTTGGCCTTTTTTAATCTTTAAAAAAAATTTCTTTTTTTTTTTTTAAGAGCCTAGCAGGCTGGGCATGGTAGCACAAGCCTGTTATCCCAGCACTTTGGGAGGCTGAAGCAAGAGCATTGCCTGAGTCCAGGGGTTTGAGACCAGCCTGGGCAACTTGGTGAAATCTTGTCTCTACAATAAATAAAAAATTAGCTGGGCATGTTAGTGCACGCCTGTAGTTCTGGCTACTTGGAAGGGTGAGATGGAAGGATCGTCAGAGCCCAGCAGGTCAACACTGGGAGTGGCCGTGAGTATGCCACTGCACTCCAGCCTGGGTGATGAGTGAGACTTCAAATAAAAAAAATAAAAATAAAAAAGTGGTAGCACGAGCCTGTAGTTCCGGCTACTTGGAAAGCTGAGGCGGAAGAATCGCCTGAGCCCAGCAGGTCGAGGCTGCGGTGGCCGGGAGCATGCCACCGCCCTCCAGACTGGGTGACAAAGTGAGACTCCAACTCAAAAAAAAAAGCCCAGCACTTGAGTGGAATGACTTTTTGTGTGTATGTATGTGAAAGTAGATGTTTATTACAGAACAATTTTTTCTATTAATTAAATGCTTTAAACAAAAAACCATAATACCATCAACTGACAATGACCTGGTTGCATGCAAATACTTCAGGGTGGAGAGGCAAATTTGTTCTTGACAAATTTTCATATAAATTCTCATGACATTTAATTCCAAAAAATATGTATAAATTGGCTTCACATGATCATTTAAAGTTAAATATAAACACAGGGGCAATTTAAGCATTGGTGTTCATTTATATGAGTTAATTTAAAGTCAGTGACTAGAGAGTTAAATTTTTAAAAACCGTGAAAAGCCAGGCTCGGTGGCTCAGCCTGTAATCCCACGCTTTGGGAGGCTGAGGATGAGTGGATTGCCTGAGCCCGCGGGTTCAAGATCCACCTGGGCAACTTGGCAAGACCTCATCTCTACAATAAATCAAAAAAATTAGCCGGGTGTGGTAGCGCGCGCCTGTAGTTCCAGCTACTTGGAAGGCTTAGGCGGAAGGATCGCCGGAGCCCAGCAGGTCGAGGCTGCAGTGGCCAGGAGCGGCCACTGCACTCCAGTCTGGGCGACTGAGTAAGACTCCAACTCAAAAAATAAAAATAAAAATAAAAAACAAAACAAACAAACCAAAAAAACCATGAGGTCAAAAAATCTTTAGGACGAGAGATACATATATGTATGTTCCTGGCCATATATATATGTACACACACACACACACACACACACACACACACACACACACACACAAACTAGAGATTTTTCCATGTCAGTACATAAGGAGCACTGGTTCCTTTTTAAAATAGCTGAATAAAAAATAAAATAGCTGAATATATTACATGTGTATAGATATTCTGTAATGTAACAAGTCTATTATTATTATTATTATTTGATTTTTTTTTTTTTGAGTTGGAGTCTAACTCTGTCGCTCAGACTGGAGTGCAGCTACTTGGAAGGCTGAGGCAGGAGGATCATTTGAGCCTAGTAGTTTGAGGCTATGCTGGAGTGCAGTAGCATAATCATAATGATCATGACTTATGACAGACTCCACCTACTGGGCTCAGACAATCCTTCCAGCTCAGCATTCTGAGTAGCTGAGACTACAGGCACATACCCCCACGCTTGGCTTATTTTTTTCTTTTTCTTTTTCTTTTTTTTTTTTTCCCCACTAACTGCTTATTTTTTTATTTTTCATAGAGACGAGGTCTCGCTGTGTTCCCCAGACTGGTGTTGAACTCCTAGACCCAAGCAGTCCTCCTGCCACAGCCTCCCATAGTGCTGGGATTACAGGTGTGAGCCACCACGCCTTACTTTGAGTGAGATCTTGTCTTAAAAAAAGAAAATTAGGCTGGGCGCAGTGGCTCATGCCTATAATCCCAGGCAATTTGAGAATTGCCTGAACCCATGGATTTGAGACCAGCCTGGGCAACTTGGTGAGACCTCGTCTCTACAATAAATAAAAAAATTAGCTGAGCATGGTGGTACGCACCTGTAGTTCCAGCTACTTGGAAGACTGAGGCGGAAGGATCACCTGAGCCCAGCAGTTGAGGTTGCGGTGGTCGTGAGCGTGCCATTGCACTCCAGCCTGGGCAACAGAGTAAGACTGCAACTCAAAAAAAAAAAAAAAAAGTATCTGGGATCAGTGGCTCAGCCTGTAATCCCAGCACTTTGGGAGGCCGAAGTGAGTGGATTGCCTGAGCCCGCAGGTTTCAGACCAGCCCGGGCAACTTGGCGAGCCTTCGTCTCTACAATAAATCAAAAAATTAGCTGGGTGTGGCAGTGCATGCCTGTAGTTCCAGCTACTTGGAAGGTTGAGGCTGAAGGGTCGCCTGAGCCCAGCAAGTCAAGGCTGCAGTGGCTGTGAGCTTGCCACTGTACTTCAGCCTGGGCGACGGAGTGAGACTTCAACTAAAAAAAAAAAGAAAAAAAATTAGCTGTGTAGTGGCACACACTTGTAGTCCCAGCTACTTGAGCAGTTGATGCAGGAGAATCACTGGAGCCCAGGAGTTGGAGGCTGCAGTGAGCCGTGAATGTGCCACTGCGCTGCATCCTGGACAATAGAGTGAGACCTTGACTCAAAAAACAAACAGCCAGGCGCTGCGGCTCAAGCCTGTAATCCCAGCACTTTGGGAGGCCCAGGCAAGAGGATTGCCTGAGTACAGGAGTTCGAGACCAGCCTGGGCAGTTTGGCAAGACCTTGTCTCTACTATAAATAAAAAAAATTAGCCGGGCATGATGACGCATTCCTGTAGTTCCAGCTACTTGGAAGGCTGAGGCGAAAGGATCGCCTGAGCCCAGCAGGCTGATGCTGCAGTGGCCGTGTGCATGTCACTACACTCCATTCTGGGTGATAGAGTGAGACTCTGACTCAAAACCAATCAACAAACAAACAAAAAATACATTTATCAACAGACAAAATTATAACAAATTTATCCTATTTTACTTTATTTTTTGAGTTGGAATCTCACTCTGTCACCCTGACTGGAGTACAGTGGCACACTCATGGCCTCCACAGCCTCGATCTGCTGTGCTCAGGTGATCCTTCTACCTCAGCCTTCCAACTAGCTGGATCTACAGGCACATGCTACCATGCCCGGCTTATTTTTTGATTTATTGTAGAAACAAGGTCTCATCAAGTTGCCCAGGCTGGTCTCGAACCCCTGAGCTGCAGCAGTCCTCTCGCTCAGCCTCTCGAAGTGCTGGGATTACAGGCTTGAACCACCACCCCCGGCCACAAATTTAGTTTAAAGATCACTTCATCTCATAAAATAAAGTGTTCAATTAGCTGAGCTGAAAGCGTTGTCTTTACAGATAGAGAAAGGCTGGAGAAAGCAGAGAAGTAAAGAACAAGCAGCATATTAATCCTTTCAAAGCTACTTTTCTTATAAGGGGGAGACAGGGAGACAGGATAATAGAAAAAGTACTGATTTGTTAATATCAGGTTGCTTCAAGCCACCTTCTCTGGATAAGGGTTAAAGCAGAGGGAACTTTGTTATCATGCTGATTGTAGATTTAAACAGGCCTGTTAGAGAAAATAGCTGTATCTCTTTCCTCTGATTTCTCAGTCAACTGACAATTTAGTTTGGGTTTGTGATGGGGAACTTCAGCATGGGTGATTCTATTTTGAATTTTAATCTGGTCTGTTGAGGCCTAGTGCAGAAATTTAGTCCAAAAAATGGCCTTCTATAATTTTTATCTAACACAGTAAATATCCCATATACATGTCATTTCCACAGTAGAAGCATTTCTAAAGATAGATTTCTTTGAAGTAAAATTACTTCATCATTGTGATTTTGATTAGTAATTCTTTTTTTTTTTTTTTTTTTTGAGTCGGAGTCTCACTCTGTCACCCAGATTGGAGTGCAGTGGCCGCTCCCGGCCACTGCAGCCTCGACCTGCTGGGCTCCGGTGATCCTTCCGCCTCAGCCTTCCAAGTAGCTGGAACTACAGACGTGCGCTACCACACCCAGCTAATTTTTGATTTATTGTAGAGATGAGGTCTCATCAAGTTGCCCAGATGGGTCTCGAACCCGCGGGCTCAGGCAATTCACTCACCTCAGCCTCCCAAAGTGCTGGGATTACAGGCTGAGCCACCGAGCCTGGCCTTGATAAGTAATTCTAAACCTGCCTTGCATGGAGTTGTACCAATCTGTAGTCAACTTAGATTACTAACCTTCTCTAGTCACAGGCAGCACAATTCCTACAGCATGTCAGATATGTGAGGTTATTTCTGCTGTTACAGCATCCAGCTGAGAATGAACAAAGGATTTGTGGAACGTGATAACTTTTGTAATGCCTACAGAAGCCAAAGCTGTCTTGGTCTCATGGAATTGAGTGAAGTCTACTGAAGAGCATGTCCTATTTTCCTTGTCTTACTCAGGCACTCCAGGAAGCCCATCGGGTCCTGAAACCAGGAGGACGGTTTCTCTGTCTGGAGTTTAGCCAAGTGAACAATCCCTTCATATCCAGGTTGGCATTGTTAATAGGGCTTTATCTTTGTTGTCTAGCCAAGGGTTTCATATCCCAAAATGGATAGAAAAAAGCCAGTAAGCTATAAGCATGAACTTTATAGTTCAGAGTCCAAGAGTGGTTACACATGTGCCACCTCAGAGGTCAGCCAGTTCTGAATGGCAATATCTAGGCCAGAAGAGAGTCAAATAGGCCTGAGTTGGCCCACCTATATTTTTCGTTTGATTCATATAGTATTTTAAGAAATACGAACTTCAAGGCCCATATTTAAAAACCAGGACATTTTACATACAAATCTGGATTTCTAACTTTACTTGAGAAATCAGATACATGGCTGCCTTGGGTAGGCCCATGTTTCCCACATGTAAGTTAGAGCTGAGTAGTACCTGTCCCTTCTCCACATTTATCATACTTCCTAGCTATACCTCTCCCCACTTCTACTGGTCTTGCACCTGGGCCACTTATTTCAGGTACTTACTTAACCCCCATAACCATTTGAGTTTGTCATCCCAGGCTTATGCTTCTCATTTAAGATAGGGAAGATGAGAGCATGTTCTGATTTTAATCTCTTACATTTTTGTTTGCTTAGGCTGTATGATCTATATAGCTTCCAGGTAATTCCTGTCCTGGGAGAGGTCATTGCAGGAGATTGGAAATCCTATCAATACCTCGTAGAGAGTATCCGAAGGTTCCCATCTCAGGTACAAAACTTCTGTAACTTAAGATGAAGGCCCTAAAGTTGAAATCCAGGCAATCTTGGCTGTATCTTTTCCTTGTGTTTTAGGAAGAGTTCAAGGAGATGATAGAAGATGCAGGTTTTCACAAGGTGACGTACGAAAGTCTGTCATCAGGCATCGTGGCCATTCATTCTGGCTTCAAACTTTAACTCTTTTCCTGCCATGGAGTGTGAATCTTTCATATCCTGTTAAAAGCCTGGAACTGAAGGATAATCTGGCAAATGAGACAGCAGCAGAGTGTCTCCTAAGGATATGTGCCTTGGCTCATGTTGTGAATCAGCCAGTCTCAAAGTAGAAGAAACAAATTTCTGTCACTTTTTTACAGCTTTCATTGGAGCTGCTTCAGGCCTCCCAGCAGTGTATGGTCTGTATTTTTGCTCAGCTCCCGCTAATTTTAATTTCTCTTGGCTGTGGAGCATGTGGTTAAGGTAAAACCAACACTGACATGCAGTTTTGAAGTGTATTTGTAGCTTCTCTGCTGGTGCTGCCTTTCTGAAGGATAATGGATCATTTGAGCCCAATGATGATTTGAACCAGAAAACTTCCTAACTGTACCTGAATCAAACTTTCAGCCTTGGACGGAGTCTGGGGCCAAAACCCAAGGTCCAAGTCAGAGGGCTAACGATCACTACTAGAATTGTGTAATCAGTAAATGTGTTTACAATTTGATGGTACTTGTCATTTTTTTCTTGAAGGAGGTAAGGAAAATACATTTTTTTCATCATTCTTTCAGTTGTACCAAAAGTTACCCTCAGGGTTTGTCATAAAGAAAACCACTCATGAAATCTTAGATGAAAGAATAAATGTACCCGCAAACTCCTTCTTCCATGTCTTATATATAGGGAACTTGACAGAATACATTTGAAGAAAGGGTTTTATAGTGAAAAAAAAAAGTTTTGAAAATATGTAACTTTGCCCAGCTTGGGCAGAGCTCATCTCCTTACTACAGTTCACTGTTTGATGTTAAAACGAGACCATAAATATTCTGAGTGTGGATAAAGCTTAAGGTTTTTAAGGTATCTTGCTAAGAAATTACAAAAATCAATCTGTGACTTAGCTAGCAGTTTAATTGTGGATAACTTAGTTCAGGATTGTTTGAAAGGGCTTCAGATATGCTGCTTCTTGGCCTAGCACAGTGAGGATCATTTATGTACTTTCACTTATAAGATCTTGCCCTCACTATAAAGCTTCTGGATATAGCTAGCTATGTACAACTCTCTGAGAGAACAGCAGCTACGAGCATTTGATAAATGCTTAGAAAAACTTAGCTTACTTTTGTTTTTCAGCCAGCTGGAGCCTATTGGCTTTTGAAATTAGCAGGAAGCAGCAGGCACTAGAAGAAACTTCATAAACCAATAACCGAGTCTTATCTCCATAGCAACATGGTTTTCTCACATCTGAATCAAAAAATAAAAAAGATAACAATTTCCCAACAGTAGATATGGGACGGATCAAATTCAACGCCCAGTGTCTAGTTATGGTCTTTTTTTTTTTTTTAATTTGAAGTCTCACTCTGCCACCCAGGCTGGAATACAGTGGCACACTCAGTCACCATAGCCTCAACCTACTGGGCTCAGGTGATCCCCTTCTGCCTCAGTCTTCCAAGTAGCTGAAATCACAGGCATATGCCACCACACAGGGCTAATTTTTTTTTTTTGAGTTGGTAGTCTCACTCCATCGCCCAGGCTGGCTCTGGCAATCCTTCCACCTCAGCCCTCCAAGTAGCCAGGCTATTTTTTTATTTATTGTAGAGACGAGTTCTCACTATGTTGCTCAGGCTGGTCTCAAACCTCTGAGCTTAGGCAATCCACTCATCTCCACCTCCCAAAGTGGTAGGATTACAGGCTTGAGCCATCGCCCTGCAGTTATATGGTCTTGAATGAGCTTAAGGGTCTGTTGCAGGTATATTTGGAGTAGAGCTAACCCCACTCTCAAACTTTGGCTTTGGAGGCCAAATTTCGGGTGACTTTCAAATAGAAATATAGACAGGCCACTAAAGAAGGAAAGGGGATAGGAAAAAAGATGGGCTAGTCTATTATATTCCACAGGAACTTACTTGTGTAAGTAAAGAATCATCCCCCACCAACTTGGTCACCTGATCAAATGACCCCATTATTTGAACAAATTGTAAGTCACACACATACACATCTGCAACAGATTTATTTTTTAAAGGAATGGATTTTGAGAGGAAAAAATGGGCAGAAGTATGGAATAGAAAATAAATACAAATGTAAGCAGTTCTGCTAATTGTTTTAGAACCACAACAAACTAGTACAGAGAATGCCCTGTACAAAACACAATAAAGGTTCAAAGATCGAGGGTTTCCTTAGCAAGGCTGAAAATTTCAGTCTCTGGTATTTGGAATTTAGGCTGCAGTCCTTGTTTTTGGATGGATCAATGGGTGTGTGGCACAGTCCATGCTTTTAACCAGATTTGAACAGAAGAATGGCCACTTGGCCCAGGTAGAAGTAGATGAAGTGTTTGGTTTCATGTGTCACATAACTACCGAAGTTCCTCCCCACGATGCAATGCCAGGTGGGATTATACTTCTTGTCAAACTCCTAAGAAATAAAAAGAAAACTAGAATTTTAATGATCAGAGTTTGCCTCCTGGCTTACCCAGAGCCTGTAGGGCAGAAAGAAGGAACGTGTTAGCATCTGCAAATTCTTAGAATGAAAGAATGTTCCCCAGCTCCAAGTCGCCTACATAATGCATTAATGCAAACAACTTGCAGGCTGAGCTAAGATGTGAATAATGGGAACTGAGAAGGTCAAAGGCAGTAAAGTCAGTCTCAAAGAGTGTGCTGCTTTGTTATTATGGTAATTACATCTTCATGCCTTCTATAATATCCTTATTCACTGACAGCAGGTGACATCAACAGTAGTAGTTTATCATGTCCCTCTACATAAACAACCTACCCTACTGTATGGGCCATGCACCTACATCCAAAAATGTGATTCAAATGTAGCCCAAAATACCTCGTGTAAACCAATTCTTCATCATGAAGATCTTGACTGCACTCCTGCACCATTGAAACAAGACTTCCAAAAGGACAAAGCTTCCATTAGTATCTTTTACCAAACCCCACTACAGATCAAAATTAAACTTATGGGACACAACACTTAAGCATGCCACTGTTCCTATAAAAAAAAGTGCTCTTAACAGAATCTGGCGTCAGCTGGCCAAATTTTATCTCTAATTGCAACTCAAATAACTCTCATCTCCACATTTATCCCGGCGGTACTAACCTACTCTCTGGTCCACCGGGTCAGCAAGTTGTAGTACGTCTTCCCTATTTCCCCCAACCCAAGGGGCACTGGGGAGTAGAATGCAGGGATGGTGGGGAGAGGCGAAGGTCATCGTCCTCTACAAAATTCTTACAAGTGTCTGTAGCGAGCTGGCCACTTACAGGCGGTGCGAAAACCTCTTTTAAGTCTCTGAACGGGGGTGACGCTCTTACAAGCTACATCCACGCACTGCTACGTTTGTCGAAAAAGGTATGCATTTCGGTTCCATCTCGAGTCTTTCATCTTCTCGTCCTCGATTGGAACCCTCCCACGGCTTAGGCTGCCAGCTTCCTTCCCTTCCAGCAAACGTCGCTCGAGAAGTTGGCAGCCCTGCCAGCTTTCTGCAGACGGCCATTTACCGAGCCCCCACCCCAACCACCACCACCACCCACTTTCCCTCAACTGCCGACCGACTCCCCGCTGGAAGGCTGGCAAGATCTCCCGGCCCGGCTGGAAACACCCACGCAGCTCCCCCCTCCGGAACACCCAGATGGATCCTGGACGCAGGGATCCTACAGAAGGGGAACGGCTGCTCCCGGATCTTAGATACCGTTGCTAGGTGGCGCTTTCCCCCCGCGGAACTGGGTAATAAAAAAAAAAAAAACTTAGCGCGCCGTGGGTCTGGTCTTCTAGGGAGCAACGCAAAATTCATACGCGTCCTTTCCAGAAACCTCCACGCCCGAGCCTCTCAGAGCGCTCCAGGGATGTCAGGCGCTCTGGGGACGCCGGATCGGCGGCAAGGAACTCCCTTCTCCCATCCGGGACTCGCCCCGGCGGCGCGCGAACCGTTCCGACCCCCGCGGCCCGTCCTCACCTTCTTGATATGAGCCGCAATGTCCTTTTCTATGTTGTATTTCTCCAGCGCCTGAGTAGCGCACTCCACCGAGTCCTGTTGCATCTCTTCCGACATGTCTGCATTTTTTATCACGGCCTTTCTGTCACACATGGTCACCTAGGGGGCAAGGCCCGGGGCGAGGGGGTGAGCAGCTAGAATGCGGGCCGCGCCTCCAAAGGCGTCAGCTCTCCACCCCCGGCCCGCGGAACCGGGAACGGCGCCCCCCGCCCCACTTCTCAGAAAGCGCAGACTGGGCCGAGAGCTGAGTCCGGCGGGGGCGAAACCAGGTAGCGAGGCACCCCACCCCCAACGGAGCCCTCGAGTTTCTCACCGTGGAGAACCGGCAGGCTCACCACAACTGTCTGCGGGGGAAGCGCTAGCACAGCTGAGGACGGGTAGGAGACACCGCCGCTACCAAAGCCGTGGCGCATCTAAGCAGCCCCACGCCAGCCGCCGCCGCCTAGAGCCCAGGCCCCGCCCTGCTCCGGCCGGCCCCGCCTCCGTCGCGCGTGCCTATTGGCTTAACGCAGCCCACAGAGTTTTCCCATTGCTCTATGAAGTCAATGGTTCCCTCAGGATTTTTCTCCTGCGTTTTGTTGCAGACCACAATGCACCGCTCGCGGCGTCGGTTGCCCCGGCAATGGGCCTCACGCCGTAAGGCCCACACACCCGAAAGATGGAGCTGAGGCTGGGTCTTAAGGACCACCCAGCTGTCTGGCGGGTGAGAAGGGACCTTCTGCGGAAAACAAGGGAAGTAATTTCAAATTCACCGAAGATGTCCCGGGGTGTGTTCTCTAACGACAATCTTGAGAAGTTGAGCGAGGCGGCGCGCGCTGGCTCACGCCTGTAATCCTAGCACTTTAAGAGGCGGATGCGAGAGGATTGCTTGAGCCCAGGGGTTCGAGACCAGCCCGCGCAAATTGGCGAGACCGCGTCTCTACAATAAATCAAAAAATAAACCGGGCGTGGTAGCGCGCGCCTGTAGTTCTAGCTTGGAAAACTGAGGTGGAAGGATCACCTGAGCCTGGCTCAAAAAATAAAAAAAAGAGTAATGTCTTGGGGGGGGCTGAGAGGGTTGGGAGAGTAGAGTCAGCACTGTCATTTACTAGTTGTTTGAACCTCGTTTTAAAACTATCTGTTAAGGAGAACTAAGTATAAAAAGGAAATCACTTCATAGGTATGTTGGGAGTATTAAATGAACCAATACATGTGAAATTCTCAGTGCACTATGTGGCACATAGTAATTGTTCAATGGAGCTTATCAGTAATCGTCAATTTGTCGGGTACAGTGGCTCACGCCTATAATCCAAGCACTTTAGGAGGCTGAGGTGAGAGGAGTGCCGGAGTCCATGGGTTTGAGACCAGCCTGGGGCAACTTGGCAAGACCTCATCTCTACAATAAATAAAAAAAATTAGCCAGACATGGTGGCGCGTGCCTGTAGTTCCAGCGACTTGGAAGGCTGAGGTGTAAGGATCGCCTGAGCCCAGCAGGTCAAGGCTGCAGTGACCATGAGCGTGCCACTGCCCTACAGCCTGGGTGACAAAGTGAGACTCCAACTCAAAGAAATATATATATCTATAGTATATTTTTGAACCTCCATAAATAAGTTATCAGGTTAATTATGGGAAGTTTCCAATGTACATTGCTGCATTTTTCTCTTGACCACTTACTCCCATTACCTCTTACAACAATTTGACCAGATGCACACAACTCCAAAAAGAAAATGATAGGAATTAGGAGAACTTCTTCAGGTTCAACATTGGCATATTAATTAAATCAATGACTTTTTCCAGCTCCATGTTTCTAAAGGTGGGATTTGGGGCTGGAAGAGTTTTAGATAGTCCTGTTTGGTGTCTCTACTCTGGAAAAATTAGATTGACAAGTGAGGACCCTACCATGGACCAAGCATTTTGGACATATTAGCTCATTGGCTTCTCACAGCTCAATGAGGTAAGAAATGTTGGTCTTTCCATTATACAGATGAAAAAATGAGGTTCAGAGAGATAAAGTCTCTTGCCTAAAGTCATACTGATAGAAAGTGACAGAGCTAGGTTTGTTTGTTTTTTTAAGACTGGAGGAGCAATGCTTTTAGGTCCCCTCCCACTGTGCAAACTTTTCTGTCCTCTCGATGAATCCTGCTTTCTCAAAAAAAAAAAAAAAAAAAAAAACTGGAAAATACAGTTTAATTTAGAAAGTAAATTAGAGAGAGAGAAGAGAGAGGAGACAGAGAGAGATTCACCTCTCCAAGGTAGGGAAGGGGGCCAAAGCTAAGAAACATGGTGGTGGTAGCTCAGAGAGCCATGTGGACACACCAGAGTTTAGCAAAGCAATGGCAGAGCTAGGTTTTGAATTCTACTGTGATTCCACAGTCCTGCATGGCAGGCAGAACCTGTGAGCTACACCACCTTTCTAGTCAAAGGGAGAGCTAATGTATGAGAATAGATTGATATCCCTGGAGACTCTAAGCATCCCTGGCACCTGGTGGGAGCTCCCTAAATATACACTGGATAGATAAATGGATGGGCTGAGGGAAGGATGAATATTTCTTTTTATTTTTTTTTTGAGTTGTAATCTCACTCTGTCACCCAGACTGGAGCGCAGTGGCCACTCCCAGCCACCGCAGCGTCGACCTGCTGGGCTCCGGTGATCCTTCCGCCTCAGCCTTCCAAGTAACTGGAACTAAAGGCGTGTGCTACCACGCCCGCCTCATTTTTGATTTATTGTAGGGATGAGGTCTGCCAAGTTGCCTGGCGGGTCTCGAACCCACGGGCTCAGGCAATCCACTCACCTCAGCCTCCCAAAGGTGCGGGATTACAGGCTGAGCCACCGAGCCCGGCAGTATGAATATTTTAAACTAATTTAGCATTGCTTCTTCAGCAACTAATGCCTCAAACTTGACCCTGGATTGGTCCCTGACTGTCCTGATCTTCTTTGGGCAGAATTACCTTTCCCCTCTTGCCATCAGACTTTCCCAGGGCCCTCAGAAAGCCCTTCAGAATTGTTATTCACAAGCAGGCTGAGGGATTCCCTTCTGTATCTCTTCCCACCGAAAAACAGACTAGAAAGTATAATGGCCTGCCCTACCTCCACCTCACCGCTGCCCCATAATCACTTTTCCTAGCCCTGTCCATGCAATTGCTTTTCTAACTTTTTTGGGACCTTGAGCACTTTCATGAGTTCTGTGAGTTCTGTGACCAACCTAGTACCTCCAACCCTTCCTTATCTGAAAGGAAGTGTGAGGTGACCTTGCAGACCCCAGGGTTGACTCAAGGACCCCTGCCCAGAAAGGAGGCATCTCGTGGGAGAAAGTACAAGGCCTGAGTCTAAAACTGGAAGCTTCCTCTCCATGGAGAAGGGCTGGCACAAGCCTGGGCCTGGCAAGGGAGCCAAGCTTTGGAGCCAAGGACTGTACTGCAGTGCAGGGAAAGTGAGACCAGACAGGCTGAGACAACTCAGGGAAGAAAATTCTCCCCTCTGGCCAATAACCAAGCATCACCTGAGTGGACTGACACCCCACTGTCCACAGAGATAACAGATAAAGACACATTCAGAAAGCCTTAACAGGTCCCCTCAGTCCTAATCAGTGGGCAAAGCAACCTAGAATAGATAGTAAAAGAACAGACTTCGAGGCCAGGCAGCCTCGAGTGTGTATTCCAACTATGCCCCTGCTAAGGTATGTCACCTTATGCAAGCAAGTGCGACTCAGATTCCTCAGCTGTAAAATGGAGAGTGTAATAGGTCTTGTTTTTCTTTTATTTATTTATTTATTTTTAATTTATTTTTTGAGTTGGAGTCTCACTCTGTCACCCAGACAGGAGTGCAGTGGCTGCTCCCGGCCAACACAGCCTTGACCTGCTGGGCTCCGGCGATCCTTCCGCCTCAGCCTTCCAAGTAGCCAGAATTACAGGCATGCGCTACCACGCCTGGCTGATTTTTTTTTAAATTTATTGTAGAGATGAGGTCTCGCTGCCCAGGCAGGTCTCGAACCCGCGGGCTCAGGCAATCCACTCATCTCAGCCTCCCAAAGGCGCGGGATTACAGGCTGAGCCACCGAGCCCGGCTTTTTTTTTTTTTTTTTTTGAGTTGGATTCTCATTCCTTCGCCCAGACTGGAGCTCAGTGGCACACTCACGGCCACTCCAGTGTTGACCTGCTGGACTCCGGCGATCCTTCCGCCTCAGCCTTCCAAGGAGCCCAAACTACATACGTGCACTACCACACCGAGCTCATTTTTGATGTATTGTAGAGACGAGCTCGGGCCAAGTTGCATGGGCTGGTCTTGAACCCGTGGGCTCAGGCAGTCCACTCACCTTGTCCTCCCAAAGTGCTGGGATTACAGGCTGAGCCACCGAGCCCAGCCAGTCCTTGTTTTTCAAGGACAATTTGGTGACTAGGTGACATGGTACACATAAAGAATTTAGTACAGTACTTGGTACATGGCAGAGATCAATACTGCTAGCAACCAGCTATCATCAGTGTTACCCTAGACCAGGATTTCTCAGCCTTGGCACTATGAACATTTTGGACCAGAACGTTTTTCTTTGTTGTGTGGAGCTGTGCTGTGCATTTGAGGATGTTTAACAGCACCCCTGGCCTCTACCCACTAGACGCCAGTCATACCACACCTCCGGTTTCAGAAACCAAAGATGTCTGCAGATGGTGCCTATTGTCTTCTGAAGAGTGAGATCACTTAGCTGCACTTTAGAACACCACTCTAAACAATCTGGTCTGAATTTGAATGTCACGGACCCTGAACACAGCTCCATGTATAAAGGCCACAAGGCAGGTAGACCTACTTACAGATGAAAAGATAGAATGTCCAACAATTACAGATCTAGCTAGTTCCAGTGTAAACTAAGAGGCAGGATCTACTAATAAGCCCCCTCTAACTCAAGTGACTTCAGTGTCACTCTTTAATTATATGCAAAGTTGTCTTGAGTTAACTCTCAATTATTCTAGGGCTTCAAACAAAGGGACAGATAGATAGTTGGTATCAGATTTCTGGCATCTCCGTTCTGATTCACCTGAGAGAAAACTTGACTCTCTAGAACTCATTCAGAACTTATTCAGACCTTCATCCATTATTATGGAGAAATTTTTGAGAATCAGGTATCAGGCACTGTTCTAAGCATCAGGCACTGTTTTAGGCAAGAGAACAAAACAGGTAAAGTTCCTTCTTCATGGTATTTATATCCTAGCAAAACTATTCAGACCCCGATAAGGGCAATGGAAAAAATAAAATAGGATAAGAGAATGAAAGGTGACTAGATATGGGATCTTATTTTATTTTTGTTTTGTATTTCTTTTTAATTTTTTTAATTTTAATTTTAATTTTTTTTATTTTTATTTTTTTTGAGTTGGAGTTTCACTCTGTCGCCCAGACTGGAGTGCAGT